TCCCAATCCCATCCCAATCCCCTCCCACTCCATCCCGCTCCATTCCAGCTCCCTCCCGGCCCCTTCCCCGCCGCCCTCGCTCCGCGGCCGCCTCCTCCTGGCTGCGCTGGGTCCCGTTCCGCGGCCACGTCCCGCCCGACGCCGTGTCCAGCCGCAACGGCCGCTCCGGCCGCGCCGAGTTCGTGTGCTCCACGCGCGAGCACGGCTGCAACCTGGGCTCCTTCGACCCCGCGCGCGGCGCCTTCTGCTCCTTCCCGTGGAACGAGCGCGAGGTGCACAGCACCGACTTCCAGCTCCTGCTCAACCCCGGCGGCTTCGAGGCGCTCGACTGGGTGGCCGCGTCCTTCGGCAGCACGCCGCCGGGCGCCATCGAGGGCTGTCCCCTCACCGACCTCTTCGTGGGCCGCAGCCCCGACGGGCTGGGCAAGGCGTCCAAGGAGCAGCAGGCGCTCTTCGTGGCCGTGGACGGCGAGGAGATTTGGTACAAGTGGTACGAGGTGCTGGTGGTGCGGCAAGGCCCGGCCGCCGTCGCCGTCGACGACGTCTCCTACAACGGCACCGCGGCGGAGGAGAGCGCCGAGGACGCGGAGCTGGCCGAGGCGCCGGCCAGGAACGACGGCTGCGAGGCGGCCGCCACGTGGGTCAGCTTGGAGGAGGCCACCGAGGTGGAGCACGGCTGGAGCGCCGAGCTGCCGGCGCTGGCGGCCGCCCGCGGCGTTCTCCGCGCGGCCCCGCTGCTCCTGACCGAACCGGGCGGATGGGATTTGGGCAACGTCACCACCCTGCCGTGGGTCGGCGGCGCCAGCGTCGCCGAGTTCGTGTCGCGCGTGCACCGCGTCCGCCAGGAGATCCCGGCGCGCTCCGAGTGCTCCGTGGTTCTCCGCGGGCTCCGGCGCCGGATCCGCGTCCCCTTCTGGGCCCGGCTGACGCGGGAGTTCCGCTCGGGCCGCCCGCACCGCGTGCCCGTCGCCGGCTGGGCGTGGAGCCGCGCCGTCACCGGTGTCCGCGCCGGCCTCGAGCGCTGCCGCCCGCTCGCCGAGCTCCCGCCGTGCCCCAGCTGGGGGTGAATCCCTGGAATTCTGATTTCCCCCCCCAAAAAAACCCCAAAAATCCGCGGAAACGCTCGGCTTCGGCGCGGGGTTCGGTGGTTTCGGGTTTTACGGCATAAAGTTCGCCCCAAAACGCAGGGAAATGGGGTTTCTGGTGAAGTTTCCTCTTTTCTCCTCAAAAATCCAACAAGAACACCAGGGAACCCAGGAAAACCCTTGGGATTTGGGGATTCTTCTTCTGAAACCCAGGAAAACCTTTGGATTTTGGGGATTCTTCTTCTGAAACCCAGGAAAACTCCTGGGATTCGGGGATTTTTCTTCTGAAGCCTTTAAGTTTTGGGGGATTTTCTTCTGAAACCCAGAAAAACATTTTGAGTTTTGGGGATTTTTTTCCGAAACCCAGGAAAACCCTTGAGATTTGGGAATTTTTTCCCGCTATTTTTCACTTTTCTCCATAACCTCCATCCCTGTCTGGAACAAAGCTGGGAAATGTGGTGGAATTTCCAGTTTTCTACCCAAAACCCCTCAAGCACCACCTCAAAATCCAAGAAAATTGCTGAATTTCTGGGCTTTTTTGCCAGTTTTTGCTCATTTTCAAGGCAGAACCTCCTGTCCAAAACCTCAAAAAAAAAAAAAAAAAAAGAGTGGCCTTTCCCAGATAAATTTCCAGTTTTCTCCCCAAAAACACCTCCAGCAAGGACACAGAATCCAGGAAAATCGCTGGGTTTGGTTTTTCTCCCATATTTTTGGTTTTTCTCCCATATCTTTGGTTACCCTCCCATATTTTTGCTTTTTCTCACATATTTTTTGTGGTTTTTTTCCCCTATTTTTGGTTTTTCTTCCATAGTTTTGGGTTTTCTCCCATATTTTTGGGTTTTCTCCCGTATTTTTGGTTGTTCCCTGTATTTTTGGTTTTTCTCCTGTTATTTTTGGTTTTCCTGGCAGAACCTTCATCCCTGTCCAAATGTAGGAAAATGTGACATTTTCCATCTGAATTTCCCATTTTCTGCCAAAAAAGGGATTTTGGAAGCGAAGGAAAAACAGGAAAAAAGACCAAAAAAAAGAGATGCAAAGGGATCTTGGGGTGGGGTGTCCCTGGGGAACTCGGGAGGAGAAAAAAATCCCAAAATTCAAGGCAAAAACCCAATTCCAAGGCCGGGGGGTGGGGGGTTGTCCAGGATTTTGAGGGGTCTGCAATTGGGGGGATCTCTGGGACAATCCAGGCTTGGAAAGGAGGGAGAGGTTGGGGGTCCTGGAATTCTGAGGGTGTCCAGGGAGCTGGGGGGAGGGAGGGACTTGGGGAGACCCCAGATTGGGCAGAAGCAGGAACCTGGGGATACCCTGAATTTCCTGGGAGGGGGAAGAAGGGATTCGGGGAGATTTCTTGGGGAAATGGGATCATGGAGCCACCAGGTCATGGGGGACATCAAACATCAGCTCACGTCCGTCCTCATCCGTGTCTGAGCCACCTCAGGACAGTCCTGGGGCCACCACGCCGCTCCCATTTCCATGAGGAGGGACCCAAGATCTGGAGCCATCAGGCTCATGGGGCCCATCAGTCATGGTCCCACCATCCCTGCTGGAT